CACACACGCACGCACACACGCACACACACACACAAACGCACGCACACACACACACATGCATGCATGCATGCATGCACGCACACACGCATGTACACACACCACTGACCCATTACCCTGTCCTTGACCCTGGCACACTCCTTGAAAACCTGGTTTTTGATGGTTGTGTTTTGTGACTCAACCATGTGTGAATGGACGTCAGGAGGCCGGGGTGGAGCAGAGCTGGCAGAGGGCAAACGACAGAAGAGGCTGAGGTGGGGGATGTGGGCAGGGGAGGAGGTAGGGTGGGGACCAGTGACAGGGACATTTGAACACTCAAGGGACAGCTTTGGAGTTTCTGCTATAGTAATCAGAGGTCATTGGAAACTTCTCTCCCCTCAGTGCTGGGGCTGGACCTCAGAACTTGGTGCATGCTAAGCAAGACCTGTACCGAGAACCTTATCCATCTCCAATCAAAACCTCTGAGAGAGGTGGTGCGTCTCTATCTGGCCTGGAAGAGGATCCGCCCAAATGGGGTTCTGGAGGAGGAACTCGGGGAAGACCCATTAGGGCTCCAGCTTTCAGGCAGGTCATGCTTCAAGCTGATGGACTCATTTATCAACCAACTCAGTAGAGGATGAGCAGACCAACAAGCTATCCATCAATCAGCAATCATCAATCTACCAACCCATCCACCCATCTATCCACCCATCCTTCACCCAGCCATCTATCCATCCATACACCCACCCATCCACCCATTCATCACCCAGCCATACACCCATCCATACACCCATCCATACACCCAGCCATCACCCATTCATGCATCTACCCACCATCACTCAGCCAGTAATCCATCCACTCATCCATCACCCATCCATCCACCCAGACTTCCACCCAGCCATCTATTTGTCCATCACTCATCCACCCAGCCATCTACTAGTCCATCACCCATCCTCCCAGCCATCCACCCAGCCATCTACTAGTCCATCACCCATCCACCCAGCCATCTACTCATCCATCATCTATCCATCCACCCAGACTTCCACCCAGCCATCCACCCAACCATCTACTGGTCCATCACCCATCCATCCACCCAGACTTCCACCCAGCCATCCACCC